TCAGTGTATGTATGTATGTATGTATGTATGTATGTATGTATGTATGTATGTATGATTTTATATAATATATTTATATATATATATATATATATATATATATATATATATATATATATATATATATATATATATATATATATATATATATATATATATTATATATATATTCGAAAGTGTTTAAATGCAGTATTCCAGAAGTAAACTATAAAAATTGGACCATACAAAACATTATACAATTAAAAAAGTTGACTAAATTTAAAGTTTTTCATTAATTAAAATGACTTTGTCAATTCTTATAAAAATGCATTAAATTTAGTATCAAAAGTAAGGTCTTCAAAAGTATAATAAGGATATCAACACTACTACAATTGTCACTATGAATCAGTCTATTTTCTTAACAAGAAGTTGAGTAATATCTGTTGGGACATTGCATTGTAACATATTCTAAATGATTTTAATTCTTAATTAAGTTTATTATGTTTCAACGCTGTGCTCTCCTACATAAAAAAATATTTCTGGTCAGCCTATTATAGGCAAAGATGTTTAACTTGGAAGAGTTAGCAACCAACTTATGAAGTAACTTACTTTATTCCTATCTAGTTTTTTTTTCCCTTGAAGTCAGTTTTGTAATAATTTTTAGGAATGGTTATTTGCAAAGATCAGTAGATTGTTAACAGTAATTATCATTAATGAAATTCCTTCCCTCGCATTTTTTTATTTATACATTATATTCTAAATCTGACATATAAAAGCTTTGATGATATCTGTTACCTGTTTGTATTTCAAGTTCCACATTTCTCTTAACATTTTTAACCTAATCTAAAAATATGTTATGTATGTTACATTACTACAGTCACTGCTTATTTGTATTAGCAACAGAGTGCTTGAATTCACATAATTTTCAGATTCAGCATAAAATTCACACTTTTTAGTGCTAACCGATAAATAAATAGAAAAATACAAATAGTTCAACTTTTGTTTATATATTTTTACTAATTGTTTAATCATCTTTATTTACTTCATGTTTTTATTAATAATCATTAATATTATTATAAACAGTTTAAAATATGATAAAAAGTATAAGTAAAATATTATATAAATAAAACCTTTGATATTACCTTTGATATTAGTAATTTCATCAAAAACTTTTTTGTTGATGTAGATCAACAACAACATTTTTAATGAATTCACTAGTATCTGAAAAAGTACAAAAGTAAAATAAACTATTTTAAGTAAATTTAAATATCTTTAAAAAAAGTTAGTATTTATTTGGTATATATATATATATATATATATATATATATATATATATATATATATATATATATATATATATATATATATATATATATATATATATATATATATATATATATATATATATATATATATATAAGATAAAAATATTGATGATTTTACACTGAATTGGTCCATCCTTGAAATAGTGCCTGCATATAACAATATTTACAAAAAATGCATACTATGTCTACAAGAAAAATTTGAAATAATTACACATACACACCAAGAATGTTTATTAAACAAAAAATCGGAATTGATTTCTAATTGCAGGCACGAAAATAAGTTTCTCCTAAAAAACTATAAAAATAAGTGAGCTCAAATAATAGTTACATTAACTCCCCTTTGAAAAAAATATATTATTTTTTAAAAAAGTTTAAGTAATCATTTCTAAAGAATTCTTTTTACAATAGTGTCAGCAAATTACACAAATGTGTGAAAAATTGCAGTAGTTAAGACATGTGACTTCCTGTAATTTAATTTTTGGTATAAATTGAAGTTTTATTAATTTGATCATTCATTTCTGATGAGTATTTATTTATAAAACACAGTGTTGTATGAGAAAAAATTTTGCTAAGTGATTTTCTACTAATTTGTAATTGCTCTGTTCTTTTAAGAACATTGAGCACTCTTTTTGTAGAATACATTTTAAATTTTAGTTTATATATATATATATATATATATATATATATATATATATATATATATATATATATATATATATCTTTATCTTGTAGTTGAAATAGACTTTTAATGTAAAAAAAAAGTCTTTTTTAACAACAATTTTGCTACCTCGACAATTAAACTACATTTTATTGTCTTTGAAAAGTTAAAACAAATTAGTGTAGAAGTACATTAATTTTTATCGTTTTTTTAAAAATTGCAATAATAATGACTAGAAAGCTTTTTTTAATTAATAGTGCTTTTGTTTTTTAAAAACATTTTTTTTAAACATGCGGAGTGTTACTACATCGACCATCTTATAGCCTGACTCGCAACGGAGTGCTGCTGGTCTGGTTTATTAGTGCTCTCTTTAAAACTACCATTTATGGAAGAAACTTTTTGATGCAAGACTCTCTCTCTATATATATATATAAATATATATATATATATATGTATATATATATATATGTATATATATATATATATATATATATATATATATATATATATATATATATATATATATATATATATATATATATATATATATATATATATATATATATATATATATATATATATATATAGGCCTCGGCAGGAGTAAAAACCGCATGGGCTATGAAAAGCTTTAAATAGATTTGGCGGGCTAGAAGGGTTGCCCGTCTCGATGATCTCGCACGGGCTTTTGCTGCTTTAACGTTCGTAGTCCCCTCTATAAATGCTAATACTGATGACTTTGGAAGACCTTAAAACTCGCAAAGCAGTTCTTTTTTATATTGAATACAAACCTTATACTATATCTTTACAACAAATATTGTTCCATTCTCCACCTCAGTTTCTTTTCCACAGACTCCATCTGTTTTATAACTTGGAGTTTGCTATCCATATTAAAACTATGTCATCAGAGAAGTTTTAAAAGATTAACTAAATAAATAAACATCAAAATATTCACCTTTTTTTTTACACAAAATTTATGTTTGAGACAGGCTTTATTTTGCCCGTCTAAACTGATTTAGACGGGTGCTGAGACGGGCACGGGCATATACATATATATATATATATATATATATATATATATATATATATATATATATATATATATATATATATATATATATATATATATATATATATATGTTCTTGCATAGTCAAAAAGTTTCTTTTATAAACTGTAGTTTTAAAGAGAGCGCTAATAAACTAGACCAGAAAAAGTTTTAAAATTTAAATAATTTTTTTTTCTTTAAATGATAGCTTGCTTGCCCTTACTAAACTTAAGTCAAATATAGTGGCACCTCCTTGTAGCAGCAGGCTATAAGATAGTTGATGTAGCAGTACTCCCTTGTAGCAGTAGGCTATAAGATAGTCAGTGTAGCATCACTTCCCGCAAGTTTGCGCATGAAAAAGTTTAAAAACTTAAAAAAAAAAAAAAAAAAAAAAATTTATTGATAGGCTTCCTTTCTGAATTTAAACTCTCAGTCGATTTTTTTCAGCACTCCTGGCATGTTCTATCTATTATTCAGTCAATGTAGCAGCACTCCTTGTATTTTATACCTATTTGTCAGTTGATCTATTTAAACAGTAAAAAAATAGAAATAAAAACATTCAGATTGTTTTTATATTAAAAAAAAAATTATAAAATATTCCAGTCTGTTAAATTGCACTTTTATGGTTTTTTAAAAAATATAAATTATAAAAAATTGTTTAAAATATTTATTAAAAATAAAATCAAGTACTCTTTATGTAAAAATAAAAAGGTCTAAACCTGTCTTTGTGGGCTGCCCGCCTAGATAGTCTTGCACATGCTTTTTTTGAAATATTAAAATTATTATGTTTTGATGAAATTTTATTTTATTCTAAAATTTTATTTTGTTGATTCTTCATGCCAGGTATAGTTAAAGTTTTAATTGTACTAATAAATGTTTTTTTAGCGATAAAAATACAGAAAAACAGTATTAAAAAAAAAAAAATGCTTATAAAAAAAAAAAAATACCTAATTTTTTTTTTTAAATAATATTTTATATTTAATTTTTATTTAATAACTTAATAATTAATTAAATAATAACAAAAAAAAATTCAAATGTTAAATTATAATTAATCTTTCTAATAAAACAACAACAACTGTTATACAATATATAGTTGTTTTATAGAAATGAATGATCTTAATTTTATTATTATAAAAGTTCATTCATTTCTCTTTTTCTTTATGAATGAAAATGTCATAGTATATAAAAATTTCTACAATCGCTTTATTAACGAGTAGGAGAGTGACAAATTATTTAAAAAGGCTTTGGTAATTAAACTTCGAATAGTTATATACCTGTAAAGTTGAGATAACAGTTTTTATCTTTTGCTCAGAGTTATTAATGTGCACTCTACTTAGTGAGTTTTTGTTATTATGTTTTTGTTTCTCGATTTTTATTCAGACTTTATTCTTTTATTTTCCAGTTTTCTCAATTGTATAATTTGATTTTTGTTGAGTTTATTCCAGGTATAGTCAAACCACTAATTTGCAAGCAATGCAAAAAATAGCAGAAAAACAACCTTTGCAATCATCATGTTTCTTTATTCAACCATCTTGACATTTGCTTTAAAAACTTTTGCAATGAATGTAGCAATTTTGCAAGGTCTATTTGAGTATTAATATACTGTCTCATTAATATAATGGAATAAAATATAACATTTTTATTTCACTTCTTTAGTTGATTCATTTTTCTTGTGCTTTGTAAATTAAATTAAATTTTAAAAATTTAACGATGATATCTCTTAGCTATAAAGATATAGTGACAATTATATTGAAATCTTTTTTTAAATAAACCTTGAACCAAAGAGTTCTATTCTTTTTATTATCTAACAGTTCTTATTGTATAAATACTGAAAACCCAGACTATTATATTAAATTCTTTTGCAACACATTGCAATTTTGTAACACAACATATTTTGCCTGCTTTTTAATACTTTAATACATTTATTGGTTTAATACTTTAATACATTATTTTAATATATACATAAAATATAAAAATAATTAAACTTTAATAATTTAGGTTTAGGCAATAGATATACAAGCAAACATGAGCACAAGCATAATGTTCTTAGCAACAAGTTTTACTTTTTTTTCCTATATCAACAAGTATATTGCTGGTAGACAGGCAGTTAAAAACCGCATAAAAGATGATAAAGATTTAAAAAGAAAGTTGTGGTTGTGGCGCAATACCTTTTGTTCACTTTTACATTCAGCAATATCTTCTTTGTGGGTTTTGTTGTGGTAAGAATAAAAACTTTGTATGTTTTTATTTTAAATGAATTCATTATATATATATATATATATATATATATATATATATATACATACATACATACATACATACATACATACATACATACATACATACATACATACATACGTACATACATACATACATACATACATACATACATACAGTGTCATAAAAAATTATCTGATTAAACAATTTTTAAAATAATTTTCCTAAAAAAAGTGCTACATTTTTGTAACTTTAGACTTTTTTTAGTAAACTAAAGATAAATAATAATAAAAGAACATGCTTTTAAATAGATTTTTGATTAATTTTTGTGTAAAATATCACAAAGTTTTCAGTCTTAAAATAAAGGAACTTAATTCGTTTTTTTTGTTGTCAAAAAAATATTCGACCAAACACATTAATTGTTACATAATAAATTATTTAATAACAAAACAATTATTTTATTATTTTATAGGGCATCTTTTTGCTTGGATTAAGTTAAAGATTTTGTGTCTTCTGGTTAAATCTTTTTCCAGGCTTCTTTAATTGCCACTTTGAAGTTCTTTTTTTGGAAAATGACTTATCTCCAATTTTTCGGTCCAAAATTATTCACAAGTTTTCAATGGATTAAGGTCTGGTGATTGTGCGGGCCATTCCAAGAATTCAATGTTTTTTTGAAAACCACTCCTTAGTTTTAATGGCAGGGCCTAGGATCATTATCTTTCTGAAATGTAAAGTCAGATCCTAGCCAAAGTTTTCAAACAGATAACTTCAAACTCTGCTTAAATATGTTTCTGTATTACACCTGATCCATTGTAATATTAATAAATTGGAGTTTTTTGATACACCTCCAATCCCATACCATCATGTTATTGCCACCATGCTTGACAGTTCCTCTCACACATCTTAATTTGTAGGCTTCTCTGGGTTTTCTATTAACTTTTTGACCTCCATCAAATGATTTTAAGTTAAGTTTCGGTTTGTTGCTCCGCGAGATCATTTTCCAGAAACTTGAGTTGTGTTTATATGGTATATTACACACAAGTTGTTCTTGAAATCCCTGGTCTCGGATACGATTTCTAATTGTCTGGTGAGATAATTTGATATTATAATCAGCTTGCTTAGCCAGTTTTTGAGCAGAAATGAAGCGATTTTTTCTTGACTTGTATAATTAAGTTATTATCAAAACTCTTAGAAGTATGTTAACCTCCAGTTATTACACTAAAAAAAACATAGTTAGAGTTTTTTGTTATGTTATTTCATTATATAAAAATTTACTAAAAGATATCAATATATTTCACATAAAATAAATTAAACTTACCTAAATATCACGTGGTTGGATAATTTTTTTAACAAGCCTATTAATACTAAATTTTTTTAGGACAAATAATAAACCAACTGAAACATGGATTGAAAAATATGAACTCTAAATAACATAAACCTATTTTCAATAGAACTAAAATGACAGACAAAGTACTTACCGTTATTCATTGTTTTTATTATAATTTAGAAGGTAAACTTTTATTATTTGAAAAAAATTGTTAGGTTGAATAATTTTTGAGACACTGTATATGTATACAAACATATATTCACTCCTATAGTTTCGCTAATTGGGACCAGTTTATGAAAAAAGTAAAATTTATAAATATATAAATAAAAATATTTAAAAAATAAAAAATATGAAAAAAATGTTTACAGTACTGAAAATTAATGTCCTCATTAGTTTAAATCTAGAAGTAAATATAAAAATCCATTTATCAGGATAGTTATTGTACAATACAATAAAAGTCTATTCAACATTGTTTGTTCAAATATCTATTTTATTTTGAATTATTAAAATTGTTTTAACAAAATATTTGACATCTATTATTTACTTTTAGAAATTACCAAAAAATATGTTAATACACATTTATCATGTATTTTACATGTCCTTTATTTGATAGGAATAAAATATCAAATGTTAATAATAATTTTTAACAATTGCAAATTTGTTTGAAACTAGTTTTCGAAGTTATTCTTTGCATTTTGTATACAGAGGTATACCATGACAGGGGCTATTCTAGACTCTTTTCGACAGCGTCGACTGTATTTGGGCGCCACCAAATTAAATTTTGAGGACTTTTTTTTTTTTTATGTTTTTACGACAAAGATTGTAATTTTCCTGAAAAAATGCTGATTTTTTTGCTTTATTTTTCCGGAACAGAGGGGTACTACCACCCAAATTTATTTTCTAGAATAGCCCCTGTAAGATCAAGTGGAATTTAAAATTTTTCTTCTTTTTGAATTAAAGTAGAAAAATGCAGTTTTGTGTAATTACACTTTTCATTTGTTAAAAGTCTACCCTGACGTCAAATACTAAAACTTTTATGAATTAAACGCGCTTCAAAGGAATTGCCAAAGTCTGTAAATTGCGACGTATAATTTAAAGACTCTTAACTTAAAGTTATTGGAAAAAATGGAGAAAGCGAGCTTCGGCTAAAACAGCAACATTAGTTTTTCTCGGTATGCATTTATTATTTATTTTTAATCAAAAAAACTTGGTTCAAACCTTTTTTTTTAACATTATCTTTAATATGAACACAACATGTGTTGGGGGTTTGGGATTCCTTTAAAGCTGACTAGGACTCTTTCTGTGATTTTCTTCATGATGGCCCTTGGGTAGAAATCTTTCATCTTCTTGTTAACAAAAGTGCTTCTTACATAACTTCGGGGATTCAGGCTGGCATGGAATCCTTTATTCCCTCTTGATGATTCCAGGTGAAGCCTCACTCTTCTCCATGGTTTTCCTTACATTGTGCTGCTGCAATTGCCAATCGAAACCATTACTTCCATGTCTATCAGGCAAACAATTCTCTAAAAACAGATGTCTGTTTATTAATGCTAGAAACCATTGTAAAAAGGTTTTGTCTAACGCCAAAGCCCGCTATTCTCAGGTCATAAAATCTCGTATTTCATCACAAAAATTATGACTTTTGGAGAATCTTTAATAGTATCAATAACAAGGTCAAATCATTAACTCCACCTCTTTTGTATGGCTAAGATGTTGTCACCTCACCTAAAGAAAAGCTGAATTGTTTGCTAAGAACTTTTCATCAATGCATCTCTTGATTTCACTAGTTGCGTTCTACATGATATAGCCGTCAAACAGGTTGATCCATTGCTCAACATCCGTATCACTCCAGCTTTTGTATCTAAAGTGATTTCTTGCTTAGATTCTTCTATAGCTTGTGGGCCGGACAACATATCTGCTATAGTCTTGCAGAAGTGTTCTTCAGAGCTGTTGTCTATCCTTTCAAAACTATTCAACAATTGCTTATCTGAATCTTGTTTTCCAGCCTGCTGGAAAGCAGGATCTGTTATCCCTATTTTTAAAATTTTTGGAGAGCGATTTGACTTGTCTAACTATCCCCATTAGTCTTCTTCCTATCATAAGCAAAGTTTTTGAATCTTTAATTAACAACATTTAATCTCTCATCTTGAATCTAATAACTTACTTTCTGATCATCAATATGGATTTCGATCTTCTTGTTCTACAGCTGATTTGTTAACAACAATAACTAATAAGTTTTACCGTGCATTAGATAGAGATGGAGAGGTTAATGCCATTGCTCTTGACATTTCTAAAGCTTTTGATAAAGTTTGGCGTAATGGTCTTCTCCATAATTTCTTTTCATACGGTATTTCAGGTAACATCTTTAAGATTAATGATTCCTTCCTTTCCAATTGTAGTATAAAAGTTGTCCTTGATGGACAGCACTCTTCTTCTTATTCTGTAACCTCAGGGATCCACAAGGTTCAATCATTGGTGCTATACTCTTTTTAATTTACATAAACGATATTCCAGAAATTCTCACATCTAAGGTGGCATTGTTTGCTGAATATACTACGATTTATTCTTGCCATGATAAGAAACCAACTCTCTCTCTCTCTCTGATTGCTTGGAGGGAAAATTTTAGCTTGAAAAGGATCTCACTTCTGTTACAGCCTGAGGCTCACGATGGCTGGTGAACTTTAATTCAGATAAAACTCAATTTTTTTTCATCCAATCGTTATCGCAATAATTTAGACCTTCCTATATATATGAACGATAATGTACTCAATGAGTCATCTACCCTTTATCTTCTAGGATTAACTCTTCTGATCTTTCTTGGAAACCATATATTAAATCTGTTGCAAAATTAGCATCTGCTAAAGTTGCATCTCTTTATCGAGCTCAATACTTTCTTACTCTGGATTCTATTCTCTATCTTTATAAATCTCAAATCCGACCTTGTATGGAATACTGTTGCTATATCTGGGGCGGATTTTCTAATGATGCCCTTTCTCTTTTAGACAAGGTGCAAAAATGCATTGTAAACATAGTTGGATATGCTCTTGCAGCCAACCTTCAACCATTATCACATCATCATAATGTTGCTTCTCTTTCTCTTTTCAACAAATACTATAATGGGCACTGCTCTAAAGAGCTAGCGTCTCTTGTGCCATCTATTTTTTCTGTAACTGCTCCTAAGTGCTCCAAAAACTCTGATTTTTCTTTCTTTTTTTTTCCTCGAACATCAGTAATAATGTTTTTGCATGGTTTTTTGCACTCATTAACAAAAATGCACAATTTTACTTAAAATGAATGCATTTGCAATTACTTTTAAAAAAAAAACATGCTTAAACAGTATAGGCCAGGTGAAGATATAAAATTGCTTTTATTCAGCATTTTTGGAGTAGTTGTTCAGCTACACGTGAACAAAAATTTGAGCAGAATCGCTCATATTTTTATTCACGTAAAGTTA